TCCTTTGTTTAAAAATTTAAAATGAGGGGGCAAAAAAATGGCGGTTTGCTAGGGGATCGAGCGAAGAGTCTCTCAGGAGAAATTATATTAGAAGCTAAAAAATGACAACATGGAGAGGGCCAGACAAATCGATAGCGATTCTTATTAATCAAGACAGTGCAGCTGGAGGATTTAAAGTCGTGCTGAGACCGTGAACGCTGATAACGGGAGGCTGCAAATCCCGTGCCTTTAAAACAACAAACTGACCCATGGACCCAGCAGGAAAAGCTGAGTTGCTTTCAGTGACTGCAGGAAACTGAGACCCGGGACTCCAAGTTGCAGCCAGGACTGCACGGCTGCACCAGAGGAGATGCACAAGGCTCTGGCGTTTCAAATCTAAACGGTACACAGATATTTGACTGTTCAGCGCTGTGCTGGGAGCGCACGCTGTGCACCGTTCCGCGCTGTGCCGGGAGTGCGGGAAAGGTGGGCAGCTTGGTGTGCGGTGGTCCCGGAATGAGGATCTACACCGGACTCTGGTGAGTACCGGGAACCCTGAGGCTGCTGGGGTTGGCCAGAGAACAGCTGGCCCGCCACCACAGGGAAATCAATAACACAGAGTCTGGTGCAGACATCTTAGTCTGGCTGCAGAAACTGCAGCTTGGTGACATCACCAGGTCCCCCTGTAGGGAGGGCTGGTGGAAGACATCTTGAATTCTGGCAGAGCCTGATTACGTGCTGGCTTCAGCTCCACACAGAGAACTTAGTGGGAGACATCTTGATTTTGGGCAGATCTGCTATTCTGGTGCTTCTGTCACAGAGAGGTTTGGAAGAGAACGGCTGGGATTCGGGCAGAACCCTGTGCCATAGTGACATTACTCAGCTGCTTCTGGTACAAAGAGAACTGGCAGGAGCTACTGGGGCTAAACCAAGCCTCTGCTTGGGGCCCAATAAGCGGATACAAAATAGTCACAACTCAGTGACAACCAGAAAGTACAGCCTAATTTATGAATTAACTGGCACAGAGGCTAGAGACTAGCCTGTACCGCCCCTGCATCCCAGCCTACCCCAGATAACAGTAAATTGGGGAGGACAGCAAAAACTCAAGCCAGCACGCTTCTGAAAGGCCCTAAGCAATTCGGAGAGGGCCAGAGAACTCCAGGACAGTCTGAAAGAAACCAGAAACATGACAAGAGATAAAAATAAAAAAAAATCTCCAGCTGCCCAACAGGAGAAAATAAGCCCAGGAGAACTAAACACTGAAGAGAACAAGCACAGTAACCATCCACTACTCGACACAGCATCAGCCGAAATTAAAAAGTACCTACATGATCTCATAGAGGAATTTAAAGCTGTACTCCTGATCCAAGTGAGGCAAGATATAAAGAGATTAATTAAAGAAATGACAAGCCCCGCCCAAGAGAACACAGATGGAAGAACTGAGGAAATCAGAAAAGAAAGAGAAGCATCTGAAGAAGAATTTAAACATAACTTAGAATATATGAAACAGATCCAAAGAGAATATCAGGAAACTAAAAACTCCACTGAACACTGGCAAAATGCCTTAACAGAAACTAAAGACAGCCTTCTGAAACTTGAAGAGAGATTTAGGGCATATGAACGTGAAAGAAAAAGCCTCTTAAAAATGACAAGGAACCAGAAAGAAGCAATTCTAAAACTGGAAGATGACAAAAAGATACATAACCTAAGAATAAAGAATGTGAGTGAGGAAGCAGGAGCATCCAAAAATGAAATACAAAAAATATTCACAGATATATTAAAGCAAAATTTCCCATGTATAGCAAAAAGAAATGATATCCAGATAAAAGAAGCATACAGAACACCAGCTACTTACAACCAAAACAGATCTACGCCTAGACATATAATAATAGAGATCCCAGAAATCCACCAAAAGAACAGAATATTAAAAGCAGCCAGAGAAAAGATGCAGGTTACCTATAACGGGAAAACTATCAAAATAACAGCAGACTTATCAACACAAACTCTTAAGTCAAGAAGGGAGTGGGGAGAAATATTCCAAGTCCTGAAAGAAAAAAATATGCAACCAAAGTTCATATACCCATCAAAACTCTCTCTAAAAATTAATGAAGAAATAAGATACTTTCAAGACAAGGAGGAACTGTGGGAGTTCATGGCCAACAATCCAACCCTACAGAGAGCGCTGAAGGACATTACAGAGAAAGAGGAAGGGATACCAGGATTCCAGCAACAGTGGCAGAGAGGCCTCAGTGAACGGGGCAGACAATGGAATGAGGGAATAAGGTGGACAAATTATAGCAGAAAAGTGGAGTAGCAGACATGAGACAGAGACGGTAAGCTATAGTCTTTAGTATAGACAGCTCTGAAACTACATTTTAAAAAAAAGCAGAGGTCATTGCTAATGGTGTATAACGATTTAAAAGACACAGTAGTCCTAGTGCCATATTTAGATTGAATTCAATTTGTTCTGGTCTGTCCACTCATGTCAGATTTGAGGACACAGACCTCTAGAACCAAAAATAGCAGGTTATACCATGGTAACTATCCTTACTTTCCTATTGACTTAGACTGAAATCCTGTATTACTTGCATTGTCTTACTATGACTGATCTTAATTGTATCTGAATCATAAGACTATTGGTTGGCCTTGACTGATCCTATTTGAAATCGGTATGCATGTTAGAATCAACCCTAAAAGTAGAGGAAACTACTCTGAGCATGACAAGATGTAAAGGATATCCATACTGGTATGAATCAGTAACAGCTCTCAAATCCTACAATGTTGTCAAAGTTAAGTTTTTATAAAAATAGGTGATAGTATGTTTAACTATAATAAGCCAGTGTTGTGGACAAATCTATTGAAAATAACAAGAGAAAACATAGTAGCTACGGAAGATCATTTATATTGTAGTCTTATATGTCTTATCCATTGCATGTTTTTTTAGGAAATTGTTTTGCTGTCTTGCTATGACTTGGTTTTCCCTATAATACAGAGAGGATAGATATATAGGTAGAAATTCACACATGGATTTTTTTAAATTATTTACGGGAACAGATTATATAATGCAAGATGTAAGGAACAGATACTCTGAGGAAGAGACGCTGAGAAACCCGAGGCTTATTTTGTAGCATTATAATATAAATTCTAGCAATCTATTGCTGATTAGAATGACATTAGACTGGTTTCTTCAGTTCAACTTCAGCATATGCAGAGATGGGGACAGCTATCACAAAGAGAATGAGAGATGCGATGGTAGTTGCTATTGTCTTCCCTAATTTGGAACTTGAGGACCTAAAAAGACTTCATCATCCTGTAATGATTTGATTAGTTCTATAATATGCAATAAGTATATAAAGTGGGTGAAGATAGGGACAACTATTTGTAAGAAGCTAGAGACAGTTAGATAATGAAGATCTCCAGTGGACTTGCTTTGAAATCTGTATTTCTTTAAATTGTTTTTTATTTTTTTATTTTTTTTAAATGTTCTGTTCTGTTTTGTTATGTTTAATCTTACCCTCTTTGAGATGTAAAACAAATGTGTAGGACTGATAATCGTATTACTGAGCTTCTGTTCGATCATAGAGCAGAATGGTTTGTAGGGTCACTTTTTGAATGTCATTCTAAATACTTTAATTCTATAACCTGAACACCTATTTCGAAGATGACAATGTGTAACTTATCAACCGGCAATTTCTTACCTTTTGTTTATCTGTAATTTTGTATTATTTCTACCCTTTTTTTTTTATCTCCATGTATTTTTTTCGTTTCCTTTTCTTTAAATAAATAAATAAATAAATAAATAAATAAAAATTTAAAATGTATGAGAATCTCAGCATAGAAGTAAACAGGAACAGCAGGTGTGAGTGTATTAAAGGTGACACCCACTGTGGACTAGGCCCCTATTCAGGGGTCAGATAGGTTTTAACCCATGTTAGACATCAGGAAAGTGACCCTGTTACAAGACACTTTATGTCCACATGGCTGTCTTAGGACTGTGCTGTTTCTCCATCTGCTGTCCCCAAGGGATCGTGCCCCTGTGTGTGTGTGCTCAAGAGGCCTGATGCGGTCTGCAGGGCAGGGCCCGCCCTCCACAGTCCCCAAGACTCCATGTCCAGACCATGTGTAGCTTGAACTGCACTAAGTCATTGCTGCAGTCAGGTTTTACAGAGTCTCGGGTTTTGCAGTCCATGCTGGACTATGTAGTGAGTTAACAGCCAGCCATAATGAAGTCCTGTTTCAAAAAACAAATTTAAAACACAGTGAGTTTGAGTTTGAGTTTGGTTTATCAGATTATCTAGTCGAATGCTTGTTTTGGTAGACATTAGGCTCTGTTTCAGTTAAATGCTTTTGTAAGCTGGTCTGCTAGCCAGCTTCTGAATGGGGCTCTGCTTCAGAGTGACACGGGGACTGGAAAACCAGAAAGCATGCACCTAAAGGAAGAGGCAGGTGTAACTGACTTTTTAAGAGTTGTTTTTGTTTTTGTTTGTTTGAAAACAACATCAAATTCAGACATTTAAGAGAACACTGACAAAGCCAAACACCGTTTGTCTGTGAACCAGCTGTCGCCTGTGTTGTCATAGGGCTTCAGTGGTAGTCATGGAACTTGGAGCAACAGAGCTGCACGAGTACAATGCTGAGGCATCACTGGGCGGCGGCGGCCGTGACCTCACATGCAGTCCTGAAGCGGCCTTTCCTCCTGCCCGTGTGCTTTCTCCCTTGCTTGAAGGCCACAAAGCTGGCTTTACTTCAGTCTGCATAGCGGTAGCCTCTGGGAAAGCCAGCCGAGGAGGACCGTACGTGAACTCATGTCAAGAGGGCTGTGTTCTGACAGACACTGTGTGTGCCATGTGTGGATTAACCCGAAAATTAGGGCCTGTGAAAGGTGCACATGGGCAGAGCAGAAAGGGGCTGTGTTCATGATTTATGTAACTTGTTAGTCACAAGAGCAAAGAGGAAGGCTGTGGGCTGCAGCGGACCCTGATTCTGCAGTGCTGACCTGGCTGTGGCTTTCTTCCTTGCAGAATTCACCCCGCTCCAGTGGGACCAGGCCACGGAAAGACCCAGCAAGGAGTTCCACATCAAGTCCCAGTGGAAGTCCCAGAGTCAAGAGGTGTGGTCCTGTTAATATTACTACTTCTGTCCAAAACTGGTCAGTTAACAGCCCCTGAGATTCCAGAACACCCTGAGAAACAAAAAACCACCATTGGAATCATAATAAGCTGCCTGTTCTCCAAGCCCTATCTATCTATCTATCTATCTATGTATCTATCTATCTATCTATCTATCTGAAAAATAACCTGTAGGATATGTCAGTTTGCCTTTGAGGAGAGTGAGAAAGCTGTCTGTGACTGCTTGTCGTTTTCCTCTGTGTCGCCTGCCCTGGCCAGCAGTGTCCTTGCACACCTCTGAATCCGACCCACGTGCTTTCCCATTTCATCTTTTTAATGATGAATGAGTATGTGAAGGGCAAACTGAGTTTAGAGAAAGAGGGGTCCCAGCACTGTCATAAAGCATGTATTTTGTAAGGGCCTCTCTAGAAATTTGAAGTTAAATTCATAGAGAATATAATTTGTCCCCATATTCAATTTTAGCAAAAGCCAGTATATTCACCTACCTGTAACGTAACTCGGAATAAGAGGAAAGGAGTTTGAAATGCAGGCGTGGTTGCTTCGTGTGCAAACTGCAGGTGAAACCACTGCTGCAGGTCTCTGCATCAGGTGGCAGCCGCCCGCCCACAGGTTCACCGTGTGACCATTCAGCATAAACGCTGCCTCCAGATTTGCCATCTGCGCTGTCGGGCTGCGGTGGTGACTGACTTTTGGTGAAGTTCCAGCCGCATCACGGTGTGACCATTCCTCAGTTTACACGGTTGTTGGATTCCTGGGGAGTGTAGTGTCTGTGAAAACTGTGGCAGTAACACGACTGGCATTTTCACCCATGGGTGTGAGGACGTGCAGGGGAGGAGCCTCCTCCTGGCACTGCGCAGCCCAGATGGCCCCTGAGACCCTGAGTCAGGGTGCAGAACTGTTAAGAGTGAAGAGGCAGAGAACGCTCACTCCCACTTGACCTTAAGATAGAGCAGCGGGGCTGCGCTGTCATTTCACAGTGGTCTTCCCTGGTTTCTTTCCTAACCCACCCTGGTCCCCAAATTCAGTGTGCAAGAGAGTAATTACACATTTGTGTAAATGAGGCCCTGTAGGTACTGCAGCCAAGCACGCCTTCCTTTGCGTGTGGCCCCAAGAACCCCGCTTCTACTCTCAGGACAACGAACTTCCCCGTGGGGACTGGGGACAGGTTATCTCCTCACTGAAGAGCCGAGATCCAGGCGGGTGATTGATTGTTTCCTGGCAGCTGGCAGCTAACCTTGAGAGTGTGTCAGAAGCTTTCCAGCTGCCAACGGCAGCCTGCAGTTCCTGCAGAAGGTTTCCCCAGAGCCTCAGTGAGTCCCTGTTTTCCACGATTCAAGGAGCTGTTGGCTCTGTCTGGAAATAGCTGCTGTGCTTCTGAGGCTCCAAGAGGAAGAAGGGAGCCAGAAAAGTCAGCAGTCCGTGATTCGGCTGTTTGTTTAGACTTAATTTTTAGTAATTAGAAATGTATCTAGAAATAGGAAAAGTCTAAAGGTGCATAATTATTATTGCTGAAAAATAGAATTGATATAATTTTCTTCTTATTTAATGAGAAAATTTGGTGTCTAGAGATGATAGCCTGATAGTGACTTGTAGCCGGCTATATTTAAAGTGATAAAATATTTTTAGTAAATATAAGCCATGGCAAAACCTGTATAAGCAGTCATGCTAACTATTGGCTTGTCTCTTTCTTTCGGCGGGGATGCAGTCCACCTGGAACAGGGCAGAGTCCATCAGGGGACCTCACTGTGGTGCTTGAGGCTGGCAGCCCCACTGCTGGTTCCCCCAAGAAACTGGACAGGATGAGTCTGTGCAACAAATTTCAGAAGGCTTTGCTGCCACCTGGTAGCAGCCTCACACCTACCAAAGAGGTTACCCCAGAAGACAGCTCAGACAAACTGGATGAGTCTTTGCCCATGGTAAACAACCTTTGTCACACAAACAAGACCAGCACAGGGCAAGATCCGCTTCCTGAACCCTGTGATGCTGAGAAGGGAACACAGGACTGCAGCGAAATCATCCAGGAGGACAAAGTGTTGCTACCTTCGAGCCTGCAGGACCCTAGTCCAGGAGACACAGTGGAGCAGCTGAGCCCAGCTTCCTCCACACAACCAGAAGGTGGGCATGAGCCCGAGCTCTCCGTTTCCCTCAGCGGAGAGCAGTGTGGTGACACAGAGGCCCCGTCCTGGAGCACAGGCAAATCTGCAGATGCGCTGCCCTCTGCTCAGCCACACGGGACCCCAGACCCCCATCCTGATGGCCCTAGGCACAGTCATGGGGAGAGGTGTGACAAAGACAAAGCCTGCCAGAAGGCTCCGGATCGTCCTGCATTTAACAGGAAAATCAGCAGCCTCAAGAAAACTGACAGAGGACGTTACTGTAACCATCGAGACTATTCTTCTGATGGGGAACACATGAAGAGAAATCGGAGCAGGAGTAGGAGTCAGAGGAGGACTGGGGGTCATTGGCACAGAAAGCGGCGCTCCTACACCAGGAAAAACAGCAAACAGGAGTGCCACGCCACTGTGCGGCCCCGCAGCAGGAGCCGGCACCCTCTGTGCTGTGGGGAGTCAGTCAGTCCCAGCAAGCGCTGCGGTCTGGGAAGGTTCAGCTGCCACCACTCCCAAACCAGGAGAGGGGCCGAGCAGCAGGACAGGAGCCGATATCACCGCTCAGGCAGTGACCACACCTGGCTCCAAAAGACAGGTGACCCCAAGAAGATGCGGTGGGACGGGTGCAGGTATTACCCCAACAGGTACACCCCATATGCAAGCAGGAAGCCCAGTGTAAAGCGGCCACACAAGGACTCCTCCCCGGCCAGGAAGGGCTGGGAGCCTCCTGCCTGGGTGAGGGAGCGGACCCACTTCCACAGCCCTTGCACAGATGCTGCACCCCCTTTCCCTCTGCACCCCGAGGGCCACTCCCAGGAAAAAGCTGCCTTTGGAGCTGATAACAGTGGCTGTGGCCTGTCTGATCGGTTTTATGAACACAAAAGCATGAAGTCACACAAACGTAGATATGAGAGTGCAAAAAGTAATGACAGTCATGAGGAAAAGAAAGCCCACAGGAGTCTGCCCAAAGACCTGGAGGAGCCTAAGGCGAAGAAGCACAAAAAGTCAAAGAAGAAGAAGAAATCTAAAGACCAGCACCAGGAGCGTGACCACAGGTGAGGGCAGGCTCTCCCAGCGGAGTCTGAATTCCTCCTCTGTGGGTTTTGAGACTTCAGTTTCCGCACATTTCTAAAATGGTGCAGCTTTCAAGCTCTGTCTTACTTCATGTGTCATAAAATGTCTCACTTTGCCACTGTCAGGTAATGCTTTATAACTCTCCTAAGCGTAAATGTGAGCTCTGTAGAGGGAACTTGGGGATCTCTCACTTCAAGATTGGTGGTCAGGTGTAGTTACATTTTTATATCTGCTATTTTTTTCAAACTAGTGACTATCCAGTCAGCAGAAAATGGGGGGCCATAGTTCTGCTGATATTTGGCTGCCTGCCTAGAGTGGAGGTCTGAGGGCATCATTATTTTCTTGGCTTTTATCTCTAATTCTCAATCTGAAACCTAAATGTCTTTGTACTTTTAAAATGCTAAATAGGTAGTTGGTGGGTAGTGTGATGTGTGTGTGGTGTGTGTGGTGTGTGGTATGATGTGTATGTGTGGTGTGTGGTGTGTGCAGTGTGTGTGATATGTGTGTGTGAGATGTGTGTGTGTGTGGTGTGTGATCCTGGGGATGAAACCCACAGCCTTGTGCTCATGAGGCAAGTGCTCTGACCAGTGAGCCACACGCCCAGCCCCAGCAACTGCCTTAAACTGACTGATTCAAAACAAGACGAGTGAGCATGAATGGAATCCCATGTATTCTAGTTGACTTCTTTTAAAATTAATCCTAGAAAAAGGTTGCCAACAGCCATATGTAAATAGGCGATGGTTAGGAAAAGGAATCAGCTCACAAGCCTCTCCCTCCTCTATGGCTGAGGCACAGGGCAGAATGTCCTTCCTTCCTTCTTTTGGCCACTGATTCCAGGAGATGTCACTTAAGTCATCCAGGTCATGTCCCGGCTGACAGCCCCAGCACCACGGAAGGGTAGGTGCCAGGAGCGGAGCTGAAGTTGCTGAATTTCTGACCCTGGCTTTAAAAATCACTACGGGGGAAAGTAGAGAACCCATTTTTAACTAGATAAGCATTTTCCTGAGCCCGAACAAGGTCGAGCATCCTCAGAAAGTGGTCATGACAGTGCCAGGTGCTGTTTGAGGTGGTGCTGGTGTTTGGGTTGCTAATTTCTGGCTGCTGCTTCTGCAGGCATCAGCTGGACCCAGATGTTCTAGATGTGTACTCTGACGCTGACCTCTACAGACACAAAAAGAAGAAAAAGAAAAAGAAAAGACACCGGAGGAACTCAGAAAACTCTGAAAAAGAACCAGAACCGCACCTGCTGAAGGCCTCCAGCCATGGGAACATCAGCTACTTCAAGAGACTCGAGGGCAGCTTCCTGCTCACCAATGGCCTGGCCATAGAGGACCCTGGATCTTTCCCAAAGAAGAGCCACGTATTGGCATACAGCCAGGGTAAGAGGAGATTCTTGTAACTGAGAGGAGAAAAACTCTGCCAAGGTTTTTGAAGTGGTGACTGACACACAGAGATGGAACCTGAGGTGCCCTGAAGGGTGCGCGAGTGATACAGGGCTCCTGCCTCGTCCACCTTGACACCCAGGCCCCTAGTGACTCATTGTCTCTGTGTAGTTTGGGTGCCTGACACTGATCCCTAGCACCAAAGGATGGTTATGTGGAAGTGGAATTTATGACCCTGGAATTTAGGCACTCTGGGTGTCTGAGTATGTGTTCCCAAGGCAGAACTTTTTTTTATGCATTTTTGGAAGCTATGCTTTTGCAGCGTTTGCTTTACTCTGCTGATTCCTTAAAGCATCCAGAGTGCATCCTAGCTCATAATTTGATGATCTGGGCCATTAGAAATCTTAGTGGTCTCCTCTACCAGGGGTGCCTTTGAGGCTCCTGGCCTGCTATCCCACTCTGGGCTCCCGGGCATCTCGGATTCCTGTGTGTAGACTGCTCTTTGTGGTCTGACTGCAGTGGGGCAGCCCCTCCCCCTTTGTGACTGGTTCCCTGAGGAGGAGCCCTGAGAAGCTTGTTAAGAGTGAAAGTGACGGGAGTTGGGGCCGGGACACAGGTTGGCAAGCTGCGTCTCGAAGGCCAAAGCCGGCCCTGTGCCTGTCGCTCATCACCTGTGAGTAAGAATGGCTTTCGTGTTTTCAAAACTTCCAAAGAGCAGCAGCACTTTGCTTCCCCTGAACGATGTGTGAAATCCAAATGTCAGTGTCTGTAGACTTTGGCTGAAGCATGCAGTGGTCTGTGTGAGGTTGGTGCTCTGACAGAGGTGAGTAGTCACCGCTGAGACCGCACAGCCCACCACACTCAGTGTGTGTCACCTGGCCCTTCACAGGGAAGAAACTTAGCCAGGCCCTGCCCTAGACACTGAGGGTCACTTTCTTGAGTCAAGGCCATGCACATCAGTGCAGGGATTGTGGCACATCACCTCGGTTGCCCCGAGGCCTTTTGGGTCCTCAGTGGTTGAAATGTGTTCTCTTGGGGAGACCCAGGCAGGGCCAGGCTCCTGCCTTCCGCAGCCCGGATCTGTGTGCAGCTCTGACAGTTGTGAAGAGAAGCGGGCTCCAGGAAGGCTGAGGCCACCACAGGGAGCACGGCAGACTCACTGCTGCTGCCAGGACTGGAGGGAGGCAGTGCGGCATTTGCTCTTCACCATTAGAAATTATTTACATGTGCAGAGTGGTTTCACATTAACATTTCAGCGATTTGCAGAGGGGATGGGTGTTTCTGACCTCTGTGTGCTACCTGAGGATCGGGTAGTGACACAGATTTGGTCTGGGTGTTGGGCAGGGTCCCGGCATTGTCAGAATCCCTCATCCTGGCAGGACAGGTCAAGCTAGAGCCCACCCATCTGGGGACAGCAGCCTCCATAGTGTTGGCATGGCATTCAAGGCTGAGTCCACTCAGCCACTGCAGATGCTGCAGTCAGGTCGTGTCTGAGTGGTGGCCCATTCTGTCCCCAGTGCAGGACCACTGATGACTGGTTTGCAGCCAGCACTTCTGCCAGGAGCACAGACCAAGGGCCCTTGGACTCCGGGCCTCCTGAGAGGGGGCCTGGCTGAGGCCAGCACTCTGCCATCTTCTGTGCACTTGTGCTCCTGTGTCCTGACCTTTGACCACTCACCTTTCTGACCTGACCTCTGGCTCCATTCAAATCCAGTTAATTTCTTTGGCCCTGGCCTGAAGTCCATTCTGTCCTTCTGTGAGAACTCAACAGTGTGCAGGGCAGATGTGGCCTGTTCCTTCGCTCCAGGTTCTGGGGCATCTTCCATGGGACCAGAGGCTCTAACTGTTATGGGAACTCGCTTTCCTCTCAGGAGGACCTTGCCACATGGGCTGTGTACCAGCCTGCACTTGCTCAGCCTGATGTGGGGCAGCCACTATTAAATGACAAACAAACTGTCTCATTGTTACCATGTAATGCATACTCAGAGCACAGACACCACAAATTGTACAAAGTCACTAAAAGGTTTCCTAACCTTTGTCTTCTAGGTGATGGAAAACTTAGCCTCAAAACAAAAAATTTACGAGTGAAAGTAAGTACTTTTCCTGTGTGTCCATTTTCTTCTTTGTAGAAGCACAGAGGGGGACAGAGAAGGCACTGACATCCTGAGGAAAACCTAATTCCCTGGGGTTGAGCTGTGGAAACAGCAGCAGGGGTGTGGGTCACTGAACTCCAAGCCAGCACCGGAAAGTGTGGAGACCTCTTTTCCCAGTCAGCTTTCCAGGACTAGGGCAGGCTGGGTAAGGGAAGTGCAGGGCTAGTTCCTCCCTCCTCCCTCACTGGAAGAAGCCAGCAGGGCCCCATCTGAATCAGAGTTATCGGATAAGCATCTGGGATGAGAAGCCCATGTGTGTCCCCTACCCAGACCGCAGAGCCCATCCCAGGAGCTCAGTGCCTAGGCCTAGAGGTCACGCTGAGGCTGGGTCACAGCCCTCACCTGACACGGCCGCTCTGTTGGGATGAGGTCCGGGTGACTTAGAGCAGAGCCTTCGTGGTGTCGAGGCTGGGTCTGAATCACTTGTATTCTGTGGCTCTGGAGGTAAAAGGGATAGTGACACGACAGGAAACTGCCCTTGTGTCTCATACCCGATCAGCAAGGGGGATTTTAAATGAATTTCAAGCTGGGCCTGGTGGCACACTCCTGTAGTCCCTGTGGGAACCTGAGGTAGGAGGATCATTCCAAATTCAAGACCAGCCTGGGCTACAAAGTGAGACCAAGGCCAGTCTGAACCACATAGCAGGACCCTGTCTTAAAAAGACAAAAATAAATAAATGGGCTTCAAGAGGAATTATCTATAGAAGATCAGTATGCAGTAATTAACATGCTTTATCTGTGTGTCCTCAAGGGAAAGCACTAACTCTGAGGAACTAAGCTAGCTGTTCCTGAGGATTGGGAAGGCTTAGCCACACTTGGGGTTCAGGCTGGGCGGGTGCAGCAGGGCCCAGCAGATGGTGCCTCCCTGGCCAGGCTGCCAGCGGTTCCTCTGCAGCTGCCTGGCATCACTGGGTTTCTCTACTGCCATTCAGGAAGGCAGTGATGGCTTCAAGGGAAAAGAGCTTCCCAAAGACCAAGGGGACCTGCGGACAGGGTGGGACAGAAAGGGGGGCCTGGCTTCCTGGGGTCTCTGCCTTCAACTAATGCTTGTGCCTCGTCTTTCAGATTCAACATGCTCCAAAGAGGCCATGCCACCTCAGCGTAAATGTTAAAGAAAAATTTGTACAAGTCTGCATGGTACTGCCACGTTAAGTACCATGCAGATTTTATCATGTTTGTTGGTTGTTTTATTTGGTTTGTTTTTGTTGTTTTTTTTTTTCTAGTTTTAAAATTTGCCTTAATTATTCTTATTACAAAACAATAAACACTTTCTACAACTTCTGACTATTGTAAAATACAGTGTATATAAATCACATTGAAGGGACTGGGGATTTAGCTCAGTGGCAATAAGCACCTGCCTTGCAAGCAGGTGGTCGGGAGTTCGATCCCTGGTACCGATAAAAAGTTAAAAAAAAAAAAAAAGCAAACAATAAATCACATTGAAAATAATGACCTAGAATAGAACATCTCAAATGTTGCTTGGTTCCGAATTCTGATTGGTTAGTTATATTTCATGTAATGTTCTTCCAAGTTAGAATCTGGTGCAAGGCCAACTAGGAAACCATGAAATTATTTAAAAGAGCACATACTTAATTTAAAGACTTATTTAAAAGTTTACAAGCTCTCAACTAGACTTTGAGGGAAGTCTGTTTTTTGTGATGTCTAATTGTAGACACTAATTTGCTTCCTATTTTAGTTGGGTTCAAGATTTGAAAATATTTTATAGACAAGTTCTGTTTATTAACTTTGTGGGACTTTTCCAATCAATTTACCAGTTATGATGAGTATTCACATTATGAATGTATAGTCCAAACATTTGTAAAGCTCACAGTATGTTTTTATTATATAACACTTTTTTATACTGTGTCTCATCACTTGTGTGATATTAGAGTCTGAGTTGTCAGCTTGGGTGTCTTAAAGTTTCTAGTAAAAGACAATATCATGCTGTGATTTTATTTTAATATGGATATGCTATCCAAGTATGCCACACTCAAAACTCACTGGCCCTGCATCAGGAGATGGAGTGGGGAAAACTGCATTTAATATAGTTTCTATTTGAATAATTTGTATGCTTTAGAGAATTTGTATTGTTCATAAATTTCTAAAGTTTGATCTTTGTTTTATGAAGTATTATAAAAGCACTTGCCCCTATAAATACACAGCGTGTAAAATCTGTAGAGCACACGAATGGCAGGAAATTAAATGCTTTGTGCCATTTGTTACTTGTTTTCCCCATTTGCTTCCAGCCATGTCTTCTCTGACTTTGGGTTCACTTTCCTCAAACCTCCACAGCTCTGGCTGGCGTCTCAGGAGGTGCCTCAGACCTCAGAGGTGGGTCAGGGAGAACCAGCAGTGGTCTGCTGGACCCAACACATGTCTATTTTAAAAAAGCAAGTCTTAGACAACCTTGTTTTGACAACATGAGATTTAGTGAGGACAGTATTGCAAGTTTTAGCAGCACACACCTTCAGTTGTACTGTTTATTTTGCAATGAAATATCAGTAGATATTTTGATATCAAAAGAAAATTCATACAAGTTGTAGGGCGTATATACATTGAATAACAAAATATCTCACCAATCAGTATATGCACATTATTTGTATATTATCTATGTTTAGGTAATAGAAATGTTTTTTGAGGGAAAGAAAAATAAGAAAATGAGAAATCACAACTTGTGGATTCTGGTCTATAATAGACCTAACTGCTCAGCAAAGCACATCTGTGTAGATGTGTGCATTTGAAACCCTGAAAATAGGCCCTGCTTTGTGTGAAGCATTAAATGCTGCTTCACCTATAAACTTTTTTGAGTCCATTTGGTGCCACATTAAACTACTTGAAAGTGTTTCAGGACCCCAGAGATGTGGGGGCTTTGGGTGTGGATCTAGGGTGATTCCAAATAAACCTCAAAGGATAACCAGGGCCCAGTGAGACAGCTGGGGTGCTGTAGAGCTGCCATCTCCCTCCCAGTTTTCCTCCTCAGAACTGCCTGCTGCCCTTTGTCTCTGGAAGAAAACTTTGCTTTGGCCAGAGTTGGGACTGATGGATGACTCGGGATGCAGTGCAGACCCTCGGGCAGGGAGGTGAAGAGCATGACTGAGCCTCACCGCCCCTGTAGTGGAGTGTGGTGGGGTCCCCACTTCTAGACGGCCTGGTAGAGGCCAGGTACACAGCATGATGAAACACCCTCAGGGTTAATACTGTCACAAAAAAATTGGACAAGTCATTTAAGATTTTGAGCACCAAGGCTTTCTGCACGATCCTGGGTGAACAGCTATCGAGCAGAGCTGCTCACAGGTGACCGCCGTGGTGATGACAGATTCACCACCAGGTGACTCCATGCTCACTTCTCTCAACATCCTAAAACAGAAAGCTCCACATTCCCAGGGCCATACCTGGGTTAGATAATAGGGAGAGAGGAAGACACTCATCCCTGTGTGAACTGCTGAGCCAGCTCCACTGTAGTTCCTGGCAGAGCTACCCGAGGGTGGCCTGCAACATGGAGGCATCATGATTGGTCCAGGTCTGGAC